GGTACAGTGGTCCCGCTGATAACTGGCGTCAGGTACTTGAGTGGACCTTCAGTCCAAACAGTGCGGGTGATTGCGCGCTACGTTTCATATCTCCACTGTGCGTGACATGTTACGCCAGATACGGTTCACACCGCGAATCCTATATATTCATCGTAGAATTATCGATTCTATTGCGAATATAGGGATAGCAAGGTACGTGTGAAAATCTAAGTCATATTTGACATAGCTGCTGGCACAACACATTGCACAGACGAACACGCGCATTGTGTGTGTGGTGTGTGTGTGTGTGTGGTGTGTGTGTGTGTGTGTGTTGTGGTAGTTGTGCGCATGTGTGTGTTGTGTGGCTGTGTGTGTGTGTGTGTGTGTGGCTGTGCTGTGTGTGGTGTGTGGTCGGTGATTGTGCGTGTGGTGGTCGCGTGCTGCTGGTTGTGTTGGTGTTGTGTGTGTGTTGTGTGTGGAGGTGGTGTGTGTGTGTGTTGTAGCATTGTGTGGATGTGTGTGTGTGTGTGTGTCCGTGAATGTGATGTGCGTTGTACGTTTTGGTTGTGTGGTGCGTGAAGTGGCGCAGCGCGTGTGTGTGGTGTTGTGCTGCGGTGCGCGCGTACGTGCGTGTGTGCTTGGTTAATTGTGTGTCTTCCGACACGACATACGACCGCGACAGCTCTTCGCCGTCCACACGACGACGTGCCTAACTGAAGCCCTCGTACAGCACATGCGCTACGATATCCGAGCCACCATGCAGGCTGTAATCTCAGTGTCTTTCACACTTACCGCCAATTACTCTGCCGTCGCCTACGACTGTACGACAGCACTTATTTCCACAAAAGGCGCAGTCTCTCTGTGCCTTGCCGTGTGCATTCTCGCTGCGTGTGTGTGTAGCGCGCGCACGCATGCAAGCACGCATACACGCGCGCATGTGGGGATGGCTCTTGCTGTGTGTGTGTAGCGCACGCACGCATGTGGGGGGAAGATGACGTGGGGGAAATGGCTTGTAGCTGTTGTTTACGCGCTCGCACACTTACGGCTACAGCGCCATTAGCGGTGATGAAGCCGATGGATCTGATGAGACTCGCTTAGTGCTAACCCCCCAACCGAGCAGTAATGAGATCTCACAGCGAGGTAGCGATAATATATACAATAATAAATAAATAAGTAAATAAATAAATAAATAAATAAATACAATGAATAAATAAATATAATAACTAAATAAATAAATAAATAATCTAAATAAATAAATAAAATTAAATCAAATAAATAAATGAAGAATAAAGATGAATAAATGAATAAATAAATAAATGAATAAATGAATAAATGAGATAAATGAATAAACTTATAAATGAATAAACTTATAAATGAGATAAATGAGATAAATAAATGAATAAAATGTGCCACACCCACACGCGCAACGCATACGCCACAAATATTACACACTAACCACACACACCACACACACACACATCCACACACCAACACACACACACACACACACACACACACACATATACACACAACACACCACACACACACACACACACACACACACACACAACACACCACACACACACACACACACACACACAAACACACACCACACACACACACACACACACACACACACACGCGCGCGACAAGCTCGCGCCGCGCGGCGCGCGCACACACGCACGCACACACAAACCTGTGTAGCATATGTTTTACACACATATTTGTAGTTTTTAGGAGCTAGTTAGAACTGGGAAACTAATTTCATAGTAATAGTAGCACAGTGAAGCTTAGGAACAACTTGTAGACCAAATTCTGACACATATATTTACTTAATTCTAAGGATGGCGTCGTAACAGAGAAACAAAATATGAAAGGGTAAACAATATTCTGACAAAAACAGCTCGAAAGATTCTATGTTCTTCTCTACTATGTTGTCAAAGTTGTTACAATATTGTTATACGACGACATATAGTACATACAACATTGTTAGGAATATGCCTCTCTGGCTGTGCAAGTGAGCACACAATAGAAATCACAAAGGACATACGCTGGCAAAGACTGACTTATTGTAAAATAATCAAACACGCTACATACATAACGTAAATGTACATATACGTAGTATAAACTAAATTAAATACATAGGTCGGTACTTAAAATAATTGGTAGACGAGTGGATTCTAGGAATAGAGGCACGAGTAAAAGTGACATGTGTGGATATGGGTTACACAATAGAAGGTATAAGTTGTTTGTTTGAGGGAGAAGCCACGGGAGTAATGTTAAGAGTCCTGATTGGGGTCAGATTGTTTGGCGCGCGTGGTTTTGAAATAATATTTACTTGGCTGAACACAACTCTGTGGTATTATTATTTTTTTATGCGAAGATAGATCAATAACGACTCGTGTTTACACAAGCGTTGACTTATATGGCTACCGAGCCATCTAGGGCATGGTACGGCTTCCTGACAAATGTACGAGGAAGAGGCGCGTGTTAATTACATCCCCTGACAGTAATTAGCTGTTGTTTAGACTTTAGACCTGCGAGGACGATGGATGGTGATATTACTACGGAAGCCAGCACAGCTGGGCGTTTTTCATTACCTACGCCCGATAATGTATCGCATAGACGCAAGTCTCTGTGTACGACCGTCCACTAATAGAAATATACAGAATCCACATGCTCTATTATTCATGCACATTATCTACATATTCTATTCTATACATGTTTCATATATGGGAAGGAAATACGAATGGAAGGAAACGAGTATGGCATAGTGTATTCTATGCATTATGCTTTACTGCAATCATTTATTTACTTGTAAATTCCAAAAACTCAGTAGAGAATGAAAGACGAAGGCCGGATGGGAATTGAGATGACGTCATGAAGCTCAATGTTTGGATAATGGCTCATGGGGTCAGGATGCCAAATACATTGCGAAAAAACTAATTAAGTAGAGACGTGGTGGAATTGAGAGTGCAGAGTAGCCGGTGCATAGATGTTATCTGACGCTATAGTTCCCAAGCCAAATGCTAGCGCCGGTGCCTTTACAAAATTCTACCAATAATAGTGTAATTGTGATAGTGATAGTGAATAACATTGTATCAGGAGTAGATAATAGAAGAATCTTCTATTATCTACTACTGATTGTATCAGTAATCATAATGCGTATTATCTTTTAGAGTGTCAATAAATCAATTAAACTGATATTATACCAAATTGCTATACTATACTTTACTATGCTATGCTATGCTATACTACACTATACTACACTAATCTACACTACACCACACTTCACTACTCTACACTATATTATACTACACTATACTATGCTATGCTATGCTATGCTATGCAATGCTATGCAATGCTATGCAATGCTATGCTATGCTATGTTATGCTATGCTATGCAATGCTATGCAATGCTATGCTATGCTATGTTATGCTATGCTATGCTATGCTATGCTATGCTATGCTATGCTATGCTATGCTATGCTATACTCTACTATACTATATTATACTATATTACCTCACCGTACTGTACCATACGCTACTCTATGTTATACTATGCTATGCTATTTATATATTATTGCCTGTTGTTGGGGGCACAATGCTCTCATAGTGCCCCCAACAACAGGCAATAATGTTTTTAGTGCATCACATGACTTTGCAATCTACTCGGCAAATATGAAGTGAATAAGACAAAGTTTCTTAAACGAACAATTTCAATTTGTAACAAAAAACACAAACGTAACACATTGCAACTGGAATAAACATTGGAATAATAACAATGCGTCGCGCAAGCAATAGTGCCCGCTCAGGCGGGCACCATTGTTTCATAGTACCTGCGACGTTATCCAATGAAATTTCAACGATTTATCATGTGATGCACTAATATATTCTATTCTATTCTATGCTATGCTATGCTTTAACAAACACACACACGCACACACGCCCCCCTCCCCTCACACATATCTAGCCGTCGCCATGCAGATCTTTGCGGCTATTGTCGCCTGCGCATATGTCTCTACTTCATTAGGTCTCGCTAGTCGTTGCGCACCACGGGCGAAGAGTCGGAAAACGTAGCGAGTACGCATGACGAGCTGGCCCGCCGTGCCGATGGCTCTCTCTCGTTCTGCGCCACATCGTCTCTCTGCCTCTTTATGCTCAGGTCGAACGAGCGCGACACCTTCCTCTCCAACGTCGGCGCGCACGCGACGCCCGCAGCGATGTCTCTATCGTCGTCGTCGCTAGCGCCGTCGTACGACGCGGCGCGCTGCTTCTTGTCCTTGGAGCCGGCCTGAGTGGCGGACGAGCCGAGTCGCGGGTACATGTGCGACTTGCCGTCCCATGGCGGCTCGTACGAGCTCGACGCCTCGTCGTTCATTACGAGCGATTTGTTCATCGCGAAGATTTCTGACAGCGCCGCCCTGGTGTCGTAGGCACCGTTGCGCCCTCTATTGGTGCGCGTGCTCACGTGCGTGAGACTAGAGCAGGTTCCCATGGTGACGGCGTCGCACGTGAGCGGTGATAATACGTTCGTCTGCTGTGGTCTCTCAGCGACGCTCACATTCTTCGCGATTTTCGTTTTCCACGTATCCTCGCGATGTTAACATGGAACCGAGTAAACTCATCTCACTCGGTCCTTCCATTACTATAACGCTTCCAGTTGATATTTACCTTAATTTCTCCGTCTCTTCCTTGCGCGCGTATTGTTATTTCAACGCCCTCTTCTCTGCAATATAACGACTACTCTCAGATTGTCCTCTTCGTTAGGACGCTGTTCTCTCTACCGCGTGTGATGCTTTCCGTACGATAAAAGTTCACTGATGAATCATCCACTCCGGCAGCGGACGTGAGAGTGACTCGGTCTGGGAACCCCATGCGATGTAAACGATCCCAGACATGCATGAGAAATATCGCTCACCTAAAAAAAAATTGCACCAAACCAAGGTTAATTAGGCAAAATTAACAATATTATTTAATATTAACTAACAAACGTTAGTTGTTTCGTAATTATGCGTTCGTTTTAATTAGCCTCTGTCGAAAAATAATTACCGCTGGCTTTTGATAAGGTTTGTTTAGATAAGTAAGTGGCCGTGACCACAAGTAACAAACGGATGACGATACAGCTATAAGACGCGTATTAAACGTAGATGATTCGATATTGAGTTTAGGAGGCTATCAATACAACATTATAGATCAAGAGAGAACGAGCGACAGAGAACTAGACAGACGCAGGGAGGAAAAGAGGGAGAGAGAGGGAGACCGAGAAAGAGAAAGGGAGAAGCGGAGAGAGAAAGAGAAAAACAAGAAGAAAATGTGAAAGCGAAAACGAACGGGGGGAGGGAGAGAAAGAGAGAGAGAGAGAGAGAGAGAGAGAGAGAGAAAAAGAGAGAGAGAGAGAGAGAGAGAGAGAAAAAAAAACAGGAGAGGGAGAGGGAGATGAAGAGGAGGAAAGCGAGAAATCGAAAAGGAGAAAGAGACAAAGAGATTGAAAAAGAAAGAGAAAGAGAGAGAGAGAGAGAGCGAGAGAGAGAGAGAGAGAGAGAGAGAAA